TCCGAATGGCCTCAAATGATTTCCAAAAATTCCCAAATTAAAGTATGTTATACTTAAAGATGTTGGGAACAACTTTTATGAAGAACACTTCTTCATATTCGGCCCAAAATGATCAAAAAAAAATAACAAAGTGCAGAGGTACAGTAAAATCAGTAATCCGAGAATCATTAAACTTGCACCATTAAGCAAATCCAGCTCATACACCCTCTAAACCAAGTCTCCACAGCCTTAAAACCATCCATAAATCATCACCTTAAGCCTTTAAAATCACCACAACATCAGCCCAAATCAGCCCCCACTAATTAACCCATAAAACTTGTCCAAAGTACACATAATCCTAATTAAGGGTTAGGATTTCCACTCACCTATTTACGTTCCCCAAAATTCTAATTGACGGGAACGAGCGGCCGATTGCCGGTAAACGGCGAAATCGGCGGCGGCGTTCCGGCGGCTCACAGCGGAGGTTCTGGTCGGTGAGGGTGGTGGTGGCGAACGGCGGTCCTCTTGCGCGCGACGGCGCTCCGGCGAGCGGCTCCTCCGGCGGTCGGTGGTCCAAGGCCGAACAAGGGGAAGAGAGGGAGGAGGAGGTTTCGGTGGGAGGGAGAGGAGAAAGAGGAAATGGCCGAATGAAGAGAGAGAGAGAGTCAATGGTCTTAAATGGCGTTTTGACCCACTTTTCTCTATTCCCAGACGACCCCTCTCTCACTTGGTCCATATTAGTCTAAGCCCAATAATTGAGGGGTATTCTTGTCCAATACATTTGGGCTGATAATTATCCACATAATTTCCCCAAAATGATTTCCAATAATTATTCTCAAAATTCGGAATACCTAATTAGGCCTAGGGGCAAAATCGTAATTTTCCGATTTCGGGCCGAAATTCCATTTTTCGACCATACCAACCCCAAATGTACGTGGCCACTCAAAAATGGTGTCGGCCACGCAAAATAATCACTTACGCCCTCGAAAATTGGTTTCAAAGTCTTGAGGGGCAAAATAGTAATTTTTCATTTTTGGGCCGAAATTCCATTTTTCGACCATACACACTCCAAATATGCGTGGCCACTCTAAAATGACGTCGGCCTCGCAAAATAGTCGTAAATACCTATAAAATTTTGACATCGAAGTTCGGGTCCAATTTGGCGATCAAAATTGCTCAATTCAGAATTTTAGAGACTCTCACTGACGGGTGGCTGTTTAGGGGTTACGCGTATCGACCTAGAGTCACTCGAGTCATGACGGATTCGATTACCGGGAGAACGCAAGAAATTATTGATTATTCCAGGGGTCACGATCGTTCGGTTCAAGTTCGGGATTTGTTCGCCACTCGTACTCTCGGTCGAGCGGAATCACCCGCGATCCGATTGTACTTCGTTGGCCAAACCAAATCCGTCACTTTCCTAAGATCGGCCCACACTGGCCCAAAATACTTCCCTGTCGTTTCTCGGAATCAGTGCCCGATTTGCGATCGGGTCCCCGGTCCACGTACCGTTTTCCTAATTAGCCTTTCCCATTGGTTAGTATCCCGCGAGGGGCCAGCTCCGGACGAGATGTACTAAAATCAGTTGAGAAATAATATCCATTTCGTTGGATCCCAGAAATGGGTCGAAATTCAGGATGTTACAGTTACCTGGAAGCACCATTGAAAGAGCTTGATCTAAAACCTCTATACCTGTTGCCCATCCACTAGTCAACTCCTCAAACAAAGCGGCTGAACACACAAGAGCAACAGACTGATCGTTCACGGAACCGCGCGACCCTGCTGAATGTATTGTTCTCAATCTCTCTCTGAACCCCTGGCGCGCTCTAAGCAGTTCCATCTGTGATGGTTGGCATTTGAATGAGCTGTACACTACACTACTCGCTAGGCAACACAAAATATGCATTGCGCGAAATGACTCTTGATCATTGACATGATTGCTGGAAAGCTGAACTTCGGCATACCAGAAACATAACAGTGGAGCATCATATTGTCGTTCCTGATCAAAAGCAGGTGAAAACTCAATGGCAAATAGTAATTCATGCATTATTTTCTTCGGATAAATAATTCACGCACAAAGAGAGCGAAAATTCTTTCATAAAGTTTCTAGCAATTCCAACAATAGAAATAGAGACATGCTTCTACCAGAAAGTGGAGCTATAGATTACCCACCAAAAAAAAGGTAAAGAAAAGAGGCAAAATCACAAGACTCGTTTTGCAGACAGGATGGCCAAATCAGCCCTGGACAATGCACTTCAGAATATTAATAAAATTCCAGCGCTTTTCACTGGCATAACCGAGGTGCAAAACAAGTTATGCTCTCAATTTTAAGCAGACACAATGTTCAGAAGACCAGTAGCACGACTTTCTGATGTAAAAACATGAGTCAAGCTGCTTTGTTCGGGATCTATATCTGATACTAAAGGAAACTTCAGAAACCACTGGAAGGATGTCTAAGGAGAGCGAAACCTTACCGGAAGAAGCGCTTTGGCAGATAACAATGCCATGTCGAACACTTTTCTTGCGAGATCAATATTCCCAGAAACAGCTTCTCTCCGTGCATAAACTCCGCAGAGTAATATATCCTACAACACCAGCAAAGCAAAAACCAGTAACACTCGACTACAGTCTTAGGTCAAACCATGAAAATATAAATAGACATACTGTAGACGAGTGGCCCCATAAGAACAGCATGCTCACAGATATCAAGTTCACATCCCTTAACTTGAGCCATTAGACATCTAAAGCCAATCATGATTCACGTATTGATTTTCATATTCCAAAACCTTCCACTTTTCTGAAAAGCAAGTACTTGGAAAAGATATTTATGCATAATTTCTTATTACAATGAAAAGCCTGTATACGGGGATTTCAGAAGTCCTAAGACCACCAATCTTGCACCATCAAGTTCTCCTTTAGATTTATGTTTCTTCTCAACAAGTCAAAGATTTCCTAACATTCTATATAAAGCAAGACTGCTGATCTCTACATAAAAATCGCTTTTTTCCCTCCCCATCCAAGGTTTGAGGTCAAAATCCTTAATTATCCCCTTCCAAATAAGGGAGATGCCACAGATGCACATGATCCTCATAGATGCCACAAATAAGCAAGACTGCTGTTTCTTTATGCCTGTTGTATAGTTATGGGTAGACACTAATATCATTTGCAATTCCAGCTAATCTTTTGCAAACAAATTCCCTGGGACAGATTGTGTTGGAGATCATCGGTTGCCTAGTTCTAGAAAAACGAAATTGTCATGGAGTTTATTAGAGCGACGCCTATAGCAGGTAGTCGTGGAGAAAAACTGAAACGATGATGTGGTTTTGGTTCAACATTTGGTTGTCAGGATTATGACGTCATATATTCAGATGGTGATGATACTCCAGATTTCTATCTGTTTTACTTTTAGAACAGGGTGATATAAGCCAGGTAGATGAGGCATAGACTCAGTAAATTCAAGGTCTTGGTTTTGTCCAACTGTGATGCTGTCACGAACAGATCTCATGAGTGAGTGATGAGCTGAAGTTGGCAAGACCTGAGAGTTCACGTTACTTTCAGCAGAGACAGTTGTTGCGCAGAGACCTAATGTAGTTTTGCAGTTTGAAATTCACTGGTGTCTCGAGTTTTTTACGAAGGTTTATACTGTGTAAAAACCTTTCCAGTTGTGGAAGAAGCTTTGTTCTGTTTAACTTTGAATCATTAATTAGGTGATCCTATTTGGGGATCTACATGATCAATTGTTTAGATGGTCTTGGCTTATTTAAGGATTCGTTTGTTTCACTAAAAATTTCGTGATAAAGAAAAATATTTTCCATGAGAATCATCAAGGAAAATGGTTAATTTTCATTTATTTATCCAGAGAATTAAATAATTATAACGCTTTCAGGAGCACACCGAGTCAACACAAAACAAAAACACAAGATGACCAGCGCACCGTACTAGACAAGACCGCTCCTTGCCATGGACATGTCCTCTCCTCGGTCTCCGTGATGGGTCGATCTTCAATATGCGCAAGATAGGAATAGCAATGGATACCTATGAATCAAAGACTATTTATACGGATAGATTCGGAGTCAAGAAAAGCGACCCCATTAATGGGTGCGTGCGCAACTTGATATGGAACGTCGTTGCTTATAAGCAAAGATGGGGGGGAAGACAAGGTAAGAAAAAACACTGTAGAGTTCTTGGTCCATCCATTGAAACCGACACAACCTGACAGATGCCGTTTCAAGATTGATTCCCTTTCCAGAGGCTGAGTGGTCGTAAAGAAAAAGGCCATTTTTCTTTTCAAGGAATGATCCTACGTGGGTTTCTTGATTTTCATTGGACCAGAATGGAAGTCCTGTAAAAATTCTTTATCAGGTAATTATTACAAATTTGTGTTGGCCGTGTTAAATCTCAGGTTTCCGGGAATCTTGGGGGTCAAATCCGATTTGGGAGGTGAGGAATCTGGAAGAGAAGTGAATTACTAGAAGCCAAAGAGAGGGATTGATTCCCACCCCCCCCTAAAAAAAAAAAGATTATAAAGAAATTTCAGAGAGTGTTGAGTGTCTGTGCGCATTTTGTTGGCTTGCCAATCATGACGTGGGCGTCAAATTCTTTTTTTTTTCCGATTGGGGATCGGAGGGAGCTATGGCGACAGGAGCGTGCAACAGCGGGTTTCTTTTAAGAGAGAAATATCATGAAAAATTGCATGATAGCCACGCAAAACGCGTTTATTTTGTGAAAAAACGAATAATTTAGAAAATATTATCATACAAATGATTGCTTGTATTACTTGTAAAAATGAACTAACAAAAAATATATTTATCGTCTGTGGAGATATTTAGACATAAGTTGATGTCGATAATGAAAACATTTTCCATTAAATAATTATCTTATTCGATATAAAACTAATTATTTTATCATTCATTTTATACGAAATAAAGTTTGATAGAAAATCGTTTTCCGGAAAATTGCTTTCGTCTTTTCAGCGTTTTGATGACGAAAAGTTAATCGACCTACATAAAACGTTATGTTCAGTGAGAAAAATATAATTGGACAGATTATCTTTGTTACAGTTTTGGGTTCCTTTATGTTCATAACCCTTGGGCCACCGAGCAAGAATGTGATAAGGATGGCCAATGGATCTAGATGGATCTCTACTAGCATATCTGACGGGGATACAGGATCTACTGTCTGTCATGTGGACTCTTTTCCACACAAGGCTGGTTCTGCTCGCCGTGAGGGAAACGGCATCACCAGCAGAGTGGACAAATTGTTGGCCGTGGTGAAGAAGCAGTTTGAAAGTTTCTCTGGTTCTAAAAGCGCAAGCAATTCATTTTTGGCTGCTGGTTTGTTCTCATTGACAGCAGCAGTTCACAGGAGGCCAATGCAATTGGAGGATGCTGAATCTCTTGTGAAACAGTGGCAAACAATCAAAGCTGAGGCTCTAGGGTCCGATCATCAAGTTCAGTTCCTTCCTGAAATACTTGGTGAGTCCATGCTAGTTCTGGTAAATGTCCTTCTTGTACTTTTGTATGTTTACACGGCGGTGGAGATACTCAATAAGCTTTCGCTGTAATGTGAGATACCGAGCTAACTTACCAAGCCAGTTATTGCAAGGAAGTGAGCAAGCATAGTAGCTTTACGGTGATTGATTGGTTTCTGCATTAGCTCAGTCAAGAACCCCATGGTCAGATTGGTTTTTGAGTCGCACTCACTTAAGACAAGCCATAATGTGACCATCTGGGATCTGATTTTATACCAATAGCCACATAGAGAATTATTTTCTGAAATAACATGGAAGGTTATACTAGTGCCCTTATTTTGCCCATCCCTCTCTGGGCCAGGCTTCATTGTCATCCTTTCGTTTTTGTTGCTTAGTCCCATATCTACTTGGTTTTTGTCACTTGTGTATATATTATTTTGGGGTTACCTTAGTATTGCTACATTGTCAAAACCATTTGAAGTTTCATATGTAAAATATGAACTGAACCCTTGATTTTTGGCGTGATCATTTTCAAAGATCCTCATTTTGGGATTGCAATAAGCCCACATTGTGAAGGATATGTTTTCCTCAAGGTGCAAAGACACGGGACCTTTTCTATTTTCCATCTTTTCCTCTTGATATTTACTTGTTTGGCGATGTTTTTTGGATCAGTGGCAAGCTTTGGCTGACAAGGCAGACGCCAGATCTTGTTATTGGCGATTTGTCCTGTTGCAACTCTCTGTCCTTCGAGCTGAGATTCTTTCAGATGGGGGACGGGCATGGAGATGGCTGAAGTTGATGTTCTGCTGGAGGAAGCTGCTGAGCTTGTGGATGAATCTCATCCAAAGTACCCAAATTACTGCAGGTAGTTTAAGTCGTTATTGTCGATAGGTTACTAGAGTATAATGCAATCATGAACAAATCTGTGGTCATCCTCATATGCATTGTTCAGTTCTGCTCAAAACTCTTTTTATTGGTTTATCATATGGATGATGCTTTTGATTAGGAAAGAGAACCTCTCTCTCTATCCTTGCGGCAGAGATCCTCTCTCGAGAATGCAGAAACGCCTGCTGCATCTGCTCTTTTATCTAATTGGTCATAACCTCCAACAACTTATTTTGGCTGCGACCGTGGTGTTTATTATATTTAAGCCGTTCCAGCTTTCCCTTTCCTGAATTCGATTTGGCAGTACTTGTTGTGGGCGTTAATTTCATTTTGTTTCCTCTCTTTTGCCAATACCAGCTCTTATAAAATTCATTTAATCCTAAAGAAGCAAGAGGATGGATCATGGAAGTTCTGTAAATGCGATGTGCAAGCTCTTTCATGACAATCGTCTCGGTTTTCAGGCGCGTGGCTAGAAATAGATCGCGATGGCTAACGTTTCGATGTGATGTAAACCAAGGGAAGAACATGAGTTGGATCGTGCAACGTTCTTTCATTATTATTCCGAGACTGGTCATAATGTTTCGTGACTATTATCCTCAAGAGGCATATGAATCATCATATAACATTCAGAAGCTCAAGACTCATTAGCAATCGATCCTGTCTTGCCATGAAATTTAGGAATCCGCCCATTGCCGACATGTTGCACCCGAGACGATGAACAAGTTAGCACCAATTCACTATGCTCAACAATGCACGCGATTCAAATTAGAAAGAATTTTAAGTAACTCTCAACTTATTTTGCAAATCTCTCGCAAATTCTAAATTTAAACTGAAAATTTACTCATCTTGCGATGCCGTATTAACCATGGCGACCATTCAGATGGCAGCAGTCAAGATGTGACGTCCCAGGCCGTCACCACTAACGACAAAAGGGGTCAATTAACCTATGAACACATGCGGAAGCTATTAATATTTATAGAACAGGTGTGTAATGCATCTCATACTAAGAATCATACACAAGCGCACGCTGGAACATACATCTATTTACATATGCACAGAACTTAGAGTCAGGGTACAGGTGAACTACAGTACAGGTATACCAACCAAAAGAGAAGTCGCCCCCGGAAGGTTAAAGTTACACTGCTCCATCTATACCTCAACCCCCGAACACTCCCCCTACTCCAACACCTAAATGACCCTATCAAAAAGATCTGTCACTCGAGCCGTGCTACCTCAAAAATCGTCCATTTGCTCGTCCATCTCCTCCTCCATATCAGGATCGCTGTCAGACCTTAAGTCAGTATCTAGGTATAGAAGCGGTCCCAAAAGCTATCCCTGGCAGTGGATATACAAGGCAACGAAATAGTACGAAAATAACCTTGGCGCCATGCCTACATCAACCCACAGTGTGGACACAAACTTCGCAAAAACAACATTCAGAAACTCAGGAAAGGTCACGTTCTTCCAATAGTACGTAAAATCTACAAGTGCTCCATAATGAGTGCTAAAGGTAGCGGGAGGAACAGAAGGCATACCTACTAATATGAAAAGACAAATAACCACGGGAGTAAGCACAAAGCTTAGCAAATAGATATCTAAAGCATCGACCACAAGAAACATCAAATCACCACAAGACGCAAACATCATTTATGAGGGAAATGATGCAAATGCAATGAATGGGTGCAATGCATGTCGCATGCCAGTTATTAATCCAGTTCTCTCATCAAATATCCACCCTTGTACCACGGTTCCATCGGCGCGCAGACCGACCCGTGCGGGTAACTTCGAGCACGCAGGCCGGACTTCCATGGTATACCGACCATAGGCATCTCACTTCGAGACATCGTCGGTGCGCAGACCGACGGCATCCAAGTCTTTCGTACTTGGGCATCCCGATACTCCCGCGGGGCACATCGACGCGTAGACCGATGGTCCTCACCATTCATTTTCACATGATGCATATGAAGCATCGTCAGGAATCCCCCATCTAACGATCCTCATCATTTATGATCACACGACGATGATATGATGCAAAAACATATCGGTCCATCCAATACAGTGCATCCAAGTGAAGTTCGCATCGTATATATGATGATGATATGATGAATGCAAATGAATAACAAAAACGAAGATCAGTAACAACCTCATATAGTATATATCAACTAACCAAGGTACCAAACTTATAGCATCACCATCTCATACAAACTATCCTTCATCACACAACTCGGCTAACGTGAAACCACGTCGCTGCCGTCCATGGGCTTGGTCACTACCAGCGCTGGCCTACACCGTAGGCATTCCTCACGCCGCCATCCTGCACCGCGAGCCACCCCCGCGTTGCTTCCTTATTCCGTGGCCACTGCGCGCCGTTAGGCGGCTCGGCTCAACCCAAGTCACGGCCGCCCTTGCTAACTCCGTACAACCATTCAAACTCACTACGTGTCATCCCGACACTCAAACAACATCAAAGAGAAACCAGGAAACCAAACAAAAGTAGGAAAAGTTGAATCATCCAACTTGCGCACAACCTTAGCACATCTCGTTCTAGCCATCCAAACTCGTTTTCGACGATTTGTCACCATCACGCAATATCCCGACACCCGTACGTCCTCGGGAAACCAAAGAGTCGAAGACTTTCCGAACTTTTCAACACAAAACCCAAAACCCATCATAAAAGACTAGAAACCATTCATCTCGTGCGAAAAGATGAACGCGAAGTCGAGGGATTATAATCTACTTGCCTCGAGGATGACCGTGTCGAAGAATCACAGGAAGTCGAGCCGGTTTTTCTCTTGTGCGGTCACAAATCGTCCAAAGATGAAGAAGAAGAAGAAGAGAAGAAGAAGAAGAAGAAGAAATGATGAGAGAAAGAGAGAAGCTTGATATAAAGAGATTTTCGGATAGAATATTCCTTGAATATTCGGATTTTTTTTTGGTCCCAAATCTCCTATTATCCAGCTTAATCCACAGCCATCAATCTTCATTTAAAACCTTTAAAAAAATCTTGGCTAAAGTAGCAAAGATTTTCTCTGCGCCATTATGGGACGACACACAAAAAAAATCACGATGTCACAAATCTCCCCACCTTGGGAAATTTCGTCCTCCAAATTTGAGGCATTAACTGACGATTCAAACAGATATAGATATTGACTCCTCATAATTTCTTGACTCTCCCATATTGTCTCTTCTGTGTCATGATGCTGCCATAACGCTTTCACCGACCGAACGACTTTAATTCTCAAAACTTGCTCTTTTTGATCCATTATACGCACCGGCCTTTCCACATGCTTAACTTTCTCGTCCACTTCAATCGTCTCATAATCTAAAATATGGGTTGGATCGAGTTGATACTTCCGTAGCATCGACACATGAGACATGTTATGGACGTTAGACAGTTTTGGCGGTAAAGCCAACCGATATGTCCATTCTCCTATTTTCTCCAAAATTTCAAAAGGTCCAATGAATCTAGGGCTCAATTCTTCTTTCTTTCTGAATCTTGATATACTTTTCATCAGCGATACTTTTAAATACGTGATTTCCCACGTTAAACTCTAATGGTCTTCTGCGCCGATCTGCATAGCTTTTCTGTCAACTCGAAGCAGTCTTAAGCCTATCTCGGATGATTTTCACCGTGTCGGTCGTGAACTGTACTAACTTCGGTCCTGTTAAACTTCGTTCGCCAACCTCGTTCCAACAAACAAGTGTTCTGTAAGTCATTCCGTATAGCGCTTCATATGGCGACATGCCAATACTCTGCTGGTAACTATTATTATAAGCAAACTCTGCCATATGCAGTTTCTTTTCCCAACTACCTTTAAAATCAAGAATGCACGCTCGCAGCATAACTTCTAATATTTGAATTACCCTTTTTGAATGTCCGTCCGTCAGAGGATGATAAGCAGTGCTAAATTGAAAATTTGTTCCCAAAACAGTCCGAAGACTTTTCCAAAAATTCGAAGTAAACCTTGAGTCTCTGTTAGACGTGATAGTCACAGGCACCCCATGGAGTCGTACAACCTCCTTAATATATAACTATGCATACTTCTCCATTTGATAATCCGTTCGTACCGATATGAAATGAGCAGACTTAGTTAAACGATCAACTATCACCCAGATAGCATCGTGATTCCTTGGCATCCTTGGTAGTCCTTGCACAAAGTCCATCGTTATGTGTTCCCATTTTCACTCGAGAATTTCTAGCAGTTTTAACATACCTGCCGGTTTTCAATGTTCCGCCTTTACTTGTTGGCATGTCAAATAGCTTAAGACATACTTTGTTATATCACCCTTCATTCCGTTCCATCAGAAATACTGCCGCAGGTTTCGACACATTTTCGTATTCCCTGGATGAGTACTGTAGCCACTCCGATGTGTTTCGGATAGAATTTCTTTTTTTAATTCTTTATTCTTTGGCATGCAAATGCGTCCCTGAAAACTTACAATCAAATCTTCTGATACTTGGAAATCTAATTTCCTTCCCCCTAACACTTGCTCTCGAACTTTCGCAATTTCAGAGTCCAATGATTGTAGTTCCTTGATTCTTTTTATTATCTCAGGCTCAATCCGAAGTGTAGCCTTGAGACTTGCTAATTGGTCCATTTGAAGTCTGTATTCGGAGTTGGATATTTCCTCAAATAACTTCCATTCACTTACCATCATGCTTTTTACCATCGTAGATTTCCTACTTAAAGCATCTGCCACCTTATTTGCTTTCCCCGGATGATAGAGAATCTCACAATCATAATCTTTTAGTAATTTCATCCATCGTCTCTGTCTCATATTCAGCTCCTTTTGTAAGAATAAATACTTTAAACTTTTGTGATCCATAAAAATTTCAAACTTTTTTCCGTATAGATAATGTTTCCATATCTTTAAAGCAAAAATGATCGCCGCAAGTTCGAGATCATGTGTCAGATAGTTTAACTCATACGGCTTTAATTATCTTGAAGCGTAAGCGATCACTTTCCCGTGTTGCATGAGAACACATCCAAACCCCTTGTGAGAAGCATCGCTATATATCACGAATCCACCCGATCCTGAGGGTATTGTCAAGATAGGTGCCGTCGTCAACTTCCGTTTTAATTCTTGAAAACTAAACTCACACTCCTTGTTCCATTCGAATTTGGCATTCTTTCGAGTGAGTTGAGTTAAAGGACCAGCGAGACGAGAAAATCCTTCCATGAATCTTCGCTAGTACCCTGCCAATCCCAGGAAACTTCGTACCTCCGTCACTATCATTGGTCTCGACCAATTAATCATGGCTTCGACCTTGGTTGGGT